TAACACACAAATATACATATATACATACATATACACAAATATAAACATACATTTAAACATATGCTTACATATGTATATATTTGCATATAAACCTCTATGTATACGTATATGTACATATACCCATACAGATGTATGTACCGCTGTGCTAGCGCAGCGGTAAGGTGCTGGTCTAGCAATCTTGCGGACTTGCATTCAATCCCACGCCCGGCCAATGAGTGGTAACCCCGGCCATTCCTTGCACACAGGGGGAGATTTGGGCAAAATAAAACAGACAGTATGTCACAGCAAAGAATATCCTTTGTAACAAATGGAATTAAAGCTAAATTTTAAAATCTTTAATCTTAAAATATATACATATATTTAGACACACATACATACATACATATATATTTATATGTATATATATGCATATGTATATAAACTGACATGTATATGTATATGTATATATACACTTATATGCTGTACGTTTTTATCTCTCACAGCTACAGTGATTTCACTGGTTGATGATTAAAGAATACACATAATAATGTAAAATGGTTGATTATGACTTGCTTCAAAGTTACCTTTCACAGGAGCTGAATCCTGAACTTTCCTTACTTACTTACAAAACATATGTTACGTCCTTAACTTTTATAAAGCCATAATCCGAATTTCTTGAAAGGAACTATGAAAGTGTTACTATTTGTAGAATCCTTTGGTACACACACAGCCACTCTTTCATGCTGAACCCTCGGCGGCTGATCCGGATATTGTAGCCATCCTTCACCTGCCACTGGCACACCAGCTGGACACATAGAAAGTCCTCATATATGTACATATATATATAAACACATAAATATAAATATATATAAATATATATATCAACACACACACACATATATATAGACATATATATACGCAACACACACACACACACACACACACACACACACACACACACACACACACACACACACATACATATATATATATATATATATATATATATATATATATATATATATATATATATATATATATATATGTGTATGTATAGACCTATATATATGTATATCTAGGAATATATACATATAGATAGACATTCATATATATATATATATATATATATATATATATATATATATATATGCATATATATACATACGTATAGACATATATAGGTATGTATATATATAAGTATACATATATAGACATATTTATGTCTATATATGTGTATATGTAGATATATAATATATATATGTATGCATATATGTATATATATACACACACAAACATACACATACACATACATTTATTTATAAAATACATATACACTAACGTATATATATGATATATACATATACGCATGTATGTGCATATGTATGTTTATATTTATATATATGTATATGTATATGTATATGTATATATGTGCATATGTATATATCTACATATGTGTCTGTGCGTACATATGAACATACTGCGTGTGTTTATATACATATACACATGTATGTTCTATAAATAAGTATATATATATAGATGATATATATTTGTATGTATATATATATGTACATATACATATATATATATGCATAAGACATACATATATTCCTATCTGTGGCAATGTTTGTATGTATTTTTCCACTTTTAAAATCATTCGATTACGTGTTTGCTCTCCAATTTCATTGAACTTTTCATCACATGCTTAATTTTGAAAAATTATCCATTAAGGAATGTGATATTTGATGGAAATATTAAACTGTTTGCTCAAGTGTGTCTCCTAGCCATATAAAAGAGTGAGGACACCTCTTGGCGTCACTCGCATCACCATCACCATGAAGACTGCACTCATCCTAATCTCGGTCTTGGCTGCCTTCGCCAACGCCTCGGTGCTTCGAAGCTCTTCCGTGGAGCGAGCGCCAGCCACTGTCCGTGTGAGCGGAAGCCGGTCCTCTCTTGAGCCCCTTAAGCTCACTGTGAAAGCCTTTAACGAGGAGCATCAGCTTCGTCTGCAGCCTGCCCCCTCGCCCCTGGCTGCGGAATTCAAGTTGCAGACAACCGCACGCGACAGTCAAGGACGACTGGTCATTGAAGACGCACCACATGACTCGCTCGTTCCTGATCTATACCATGACCCCGATACTGGTGCCGTGGTCTCCGTGGACGGCACTCAGGTGGAAGGCCTCATAACGCCCACACTTGCCATCAAGGCAAACGAAGACGGAACTCACCAGGCACAGCGACAGTACATAGCTGAAGCCGGCGCTTACAACGACTACTTGGAAATTCCCACAGAAGTCCGTCAGTATCAAGCACAAGCTAAAAGCCCGAAAAGTAGACGAGGTGCCCTCAGTGTCACAGCTGAGCTCTATGTAATAGTTGACAGCACCCTCGCTCAACTTTTGGGATCCAACAGAAAAGTGAAAGAGTACCTGTCCGTGTTCTGGAATGGAGTCAACAAGAGGTTTGCTACCATGAGTGACCCCAAGGTCAATCTGGTTCTGTCTGGGGCTCTTATTGTTCGTGACTCAGCCGACGAGACTTACATAAACGATAATGTTCTTCTGGAAAACTATATCCATGGAGAAAACACACTTAGTTCCGTCAGCGATTGGCTGTTCCAGAACAAAGCTACCTTGCCTGTTTATGATGTGGCCTACCTAATGACGGGCAAGGACATGGCTGATGTTGAATCTGGCATGATTCAGGAGGGTTTAGCTGGCATCGCCTGGAGAGGAGCCGCATGTGTTGTGGCCAGCGGTAACAAGCGCTCTTTCAACACTGGCATGGGTGAGGACATGGGCGCATACTATGTGGGCGTAATGACTGCCGCCCACGAAATAGCACACAATCTTGGCTCTCCTCATGACGGTAAAGATGGAGCAGAAGCTTGTTCATGGGACGACGGCTACATAATGAGTTACATTCCAGGCAAAGCCAACAAGCTCTTCTTTTCCTCGTGTTCCCAGAAACTGATGAAGGAGTATATGGCGAGTGACGAGGCTGCCTGCCTTCAGAGCACCCAAGTAGGAGAGAAAATTCCTCTCTCTTCCAAGCTGCCAGGTGAACTCGTCTCCATGGACGAACAGTGCCAAAAGCAAACTGGCAAGTCAGATGCCTATGCCTCGAAATCCGTGTCTGAGAACTCTCTATGTGTCCAGCTGGTGTGCCAGTGGCAGGTGAAGGATGGCTACAGCACCTGGACTTACACCCAGTCGACAGGACGTCCAGCCGCCGAGGGTTCTGCATGCAGGAGTGGCGGTGTGTGTACCAACGGAACCTGTCAATAGCAACTCTTCCAAGAAAGTTTGCTCATGGTCCAATAAATACAAACAACATAAACTATGTGTTATCTGTGGAAAGAATGTCCAACTACCGAGGCCTCGGATTGCAGGAAAGATTGCTTCTCCACCAACGGATCATGTAAAAGGAAACTTTGAAGCTAAATTTTGTTGATGACCTAATAAATATAAGCAGCATGATTGATGTTTAGATTTAACTCCTAATTACAATACTCTAAGGAGGCCTTTCCAAAAATGTGATTTAATGTTACTTATAATCAACTCTTTACATCGTAGTGTGTATTACTAACCAAAAAGGAGCAATACTTTGAAATGCATCTTAAACATTGTCAAAAGATTATCACTTCTCCGTCTGGTTACTTTATTACATACATTTGATTTCCTCCTATTCCGAATCTCCTTTTAACTGTTTTCATGCTGTTATCTGAAATCACTGTTTCATTTATTATTTGAGTTTTGAATTTTCGTACTTCTTGCCGTTTCTTTTTATTTATAGTCTTCGTTAGTGTAACTATTTTGTCCCTGTTTGACGATTCTTTCATGACTCTACATTTTTGCATAAGCTAGTTTAAGTTTAACTTCTACCGAGAGTTTGCTGGAACTTTGCTTTCCATTCTTAACACCTACTTGAATTGCAACCTCCTCAATTATGTCATTGAATTGTTTATTTGTTTAGTCAATATTGAGATATTTGTCGCTGGGAGTTGAATATCTGTTTTGGATATTAAGGCTAAATTCTCTCGCTCTGGTCTTCAAGTTAGCTAAATTTGGCAGCGGTTTTCGTATAAGTTTGTTCCTTTCACTTATGAGGTTTAATGTAATGAGTATATCGCACCTATTTGAAATTATGAAGTCAACTTAATTCTTGTCGTCAGATGGCTACTTTCTTACTACGGTTTCTCCTGTCTTCCTGTCTTTTTACCTATTTTGGCATTAGAATCTTCCATAATTGAGATAAAGGTTTTTACTCTCTCGCTGCCTAAATGAACATAGAAGCTCTTTATTTCTTCATCACTGTGGCTGCAGGTTGGAGCACAAACTTGAACAATCTGTAAGTCGTACCTGTTGTTTAGTTTTATTGTTACTGAAGCTACTCTTTCGCTTACACTATAAAAGTCCACGAAGTTTCTTTTTTTCTAAGAAACCTACTCCTAATTCCTGCTTGCTACCCTGGGATCTACCTCTTCAATAGAGCACGTGTCCATCATTAGTATCTTCTATTTTCCGCCTAATGTTGTAGGACCTCAGGGAGTCCTACAACATCCCATTTAATGAATGAGTGTTCCTCAAGTAATGCAAGTGAGTCGGATTTATTTCTCATGGTCCTTTTATTGTATGTGCAAAGGTTCATGAACGTGGGGAGACCTGTCTTTAACCGGATATTTTTAGCACCCTCTGCTCCAGGGCGATCCTGATCGCTCCAGAGCAGGGGCTCTTTCGCCTTCGGGAATTGAGGGCCGTTGTTCAGTTGGTACAGTCATGATTCTTTGATCGGGAGGTTGACAGCCGAGTTTCCCCCCATTTACTGGCTTAGGTGTATCTTGGTGGGAGTGGGAGTGTTTTAACCGGGATGCCAACGATAAGTCCCTACCTAGTGTGGACTTAAGAGCAGAAACGCACGGGTTTGATCACTATACAAGGCCATGCTCTCGTGAGCATGGGCTTGAGTATCAGAAGTCCATGTATATGTGATTATATTTTATACATTGATTTCATTTATGTTTATGTACACCCCGTGCAGACATAGTTGTTCACCCGCACTACGCATATGTTCATTTTCGTGAACAAGCAGTTACAAGCATAAACTGTTACACATGTTCCTATGGATATGGATATGCATATATACTCCTACGTTCTACGCAACAACGCTCATGCACATGCAATCACATACATAGACAGATGCGCACGTCATATGTACGTCGATATATGTGAACACACATTTGTTCATATATTATACACGTACGCACGACTACACACCCACACACACACACACATACATATATGTATATATATACATACATATATACATTTATACATATATATATACCCACACAAAACATACATACATGCATACAACGTATACATATAGCCACGCATGTGTATGTATGCACACATACGTTAATGAGCACGCATTAGTGTCCTCACATATATATATGTACACACCTGTAAATGTATTTCATATAGCACTTACGCACATGCATACATACATACATACATATAGCATATACACATACATATACATACTATACACACATATATTACATACACATACACACACACACTTATATACACACACAAACACACACAATATATATATATATATATATATATATATATATATATATATATATATATAAACATACACATACATGTATACATACACTCATATACACACATGAATACATACACATATGCACAAATATACCTATCTACATATATATATACACCCATGTATACCCTCACGTACAAGCACGGGAGCATGCACATACATCCTGTGCAATTACATATAACTATACGCATACATATTAACTGTACATACACAAATATAACCTTTTACACGTACTCACACAGACCTGCATACACATGCCCGCATACGTGCATATGTACCTGAATATAAATTTGGATGTGCATGTGTACTTCTCTTTCATAAACACAGACATGGGAGCGTACATACACACACACACACACACACACACACACACACACACACACACACACACACACACACACAGACACACACACACACACACACACACACACACACACACACACACACACACACACACGCACGTGCGCACATAAGCAGCTGCGCACTTCAGTGCATACGCGCCTATACACTTGCACAAACGTTTGAACAGTGTCTGCATGAGAGGCCATACGCAGTCCATTTTAATGAGATGCATTATAATGTGCATAAATTGTAGGGTTGCAGCAGAGGGGTTGGGGGAAGGAGGCGGGTGGTGTGGGAGCGGAGGATTGAGGATGATATTGGAATGGGTAAAGATGGGGTTTGAGGGGGTTAGAGGAAGTTAGAAAGGTGATTTTGTATCTGGCAGTTTTTAGAAGAGGTGACGCATTCCTTAGCTGTTGCCAAGCCTACCAGCGTGCGCCCTTGCCGACCGGGACCATAGGTCGTGGGGTTAGCGCCTGGCGTTCGTCTGAGGTGTCAGTGCTTGAATTTCGCTTCGTTAATACGTGGTTTAACTGGTGGATCTTGAGTCGAATGGCTGAATTATAGATGTGACTTTGTGGGTTCTACCTACCTGATTTTGTGATGTACTATACTTACATACCGGCGGTTTGGATGTTCCCTAGCGATTCTGCTTGGGGGAAAACTGCAATACCCGTGCGATTTAGCACTGTTATTTAGCGACCTGTGGGTATGGATGCAGGTGAAGGTAGTCATTTTCTAATTCGTATTTGGAAGACCTTTTCTGGGGGAGATTTTTTTCCCTACACTCAGATTCGGTTTACCGGCTTCAGGCGATTTACTTTAAACACGGGTAAACACACGCACAATAAGATGAATATATGCTTACATATACATATACGTGCACATATATTCACACATTTCTATACTATATATCTATCTATATGTATAGTTTAAGAAAGAACTAGAGTTTCCATCAGACGGACAAATAACAATTATTTAAATTCAATACACAAAGACACACACACAAAAGAACAACAACAACAACGGAAAAAGTATGTCCTACAGCTGCTCAATTCGATAGCTGAAAACTCAGTCTTGCCAGCCTCTCTCTCTTACATATATGTATGTATGTATGTACATATGTACATATATACATGTATATATAAGCCTCTTTGGTTTGTTTGTATTCAAACATCTAGCTATTTCATTACCAATATCGAAGTTGGTTTAAGATGCATTTCAAAGTATGTTTCTCATTGACTGGTAATACAAACAACCATGTTAAATATAGTTGATTATTAGTAGTATTAAATTATAATTATATAAAGGCCGCTTCAAAGTATTGTAGTTGGGAGATAATATAAACATCAATTATGCTGCTCACATTTATTAGATCATCAAAATTTAGCTTCAAAGTTTCCTTTCACATGATCCGTTTCAAACTTTCCTGCAAGTCGAGGCTCCTGTAGCTGGACATTCTTTCCATAGATAACGGATAGATTATGTCGCTAGTGTTTATTGGACCATGAGCAAACTTTCCTGCAAGGAAGCCTGGAAGAATTACTATTG